ATTGTGTATAGCAACTTAGAGCAGTATTAGGAACTTATTGCTCATATTAAGTCTCACTATATCTGTTCAGTTATGTAAATACTTCTTTTTTCCCTTATTTTTTTTTTTTTTTTTGTTTGTTTTTGTTTATTGTAATATACATTTTGGCCAGATGTAATGTTAAAATGTTAATTTTATGTACAATATTGTTATTCTCAAGGGACGTAGTCCCACAATAAAGTTGATTCTTCTATTCTTCTATTCTATTATATGTTTAAAATTTTGAACCTGTCCGTCTTCATCGCATAAGTCTGTTTGTATAATGTTGAATCTTTTAAGATATTGTTTTGTATTCCCATGTTCCGTAAGTACTTGCGTAAGTTTGTAGTCATTACTGTGAATGTGTCTCTAATTGTGAATTGAAATGTGTGGTATAAATCTGTGTAAGCTTGGTGACTTAGCTGAGGTCACCCATTTGTGATCCCATCTTTTGATGAAATCCAACTTTAAATTCATATTAATATACGATAAAGGAGCTTGATGATACGATGGCGGCAAATTGCTTTTAGCTGCTTCTTTTGCAAGGCAATCGGCTCGTTCATTGCCCTCAATCCCACAATGTGCTTTTACCCATTTTAGAGTCACTACTTTCCCTACAGTTCCCATCATTAACAATTTGTTTCTAATTTGTTCAGTGAAGTAATCATGAATGTCCCAATTATTAACAGAGTCTAGTAGAACTTTGTTGTCTGTATTTATAGTAACGTGAGTGTTTGTTTGTAGAGGGTAGTCATATATGTATTCAGTCACCTTTAAAACAGCAAATTTTTCTGCCTGGTTATTTGAGCAATATGATTCTAATTTATATTGATGTTCTATATTCCTACCATCTTGAGCACTGAACAACCATGCACATCCAACGTTCTCCCTGTCCTTACTACCATCAATAAAAACATCAGTATTTTCAAAAGTAATTTTTGGTCCAGTCCATAAAATTGTTGCAGGGTGTAACCAAGATTTACAGTCAGTGATTCTTTCTATTTTGTCCAGGGTCAGGTGTTTGTATCCTCTCTTTCCTTTTCTAATGTTATATAAGGTCGTCCGTTCTTCAATCTTCATTTGGATTGGCAACAGTCCTGCCAATAATATTGTGGCCTCGAAGGATAGTGTACGATAGCCCTTACATATCTTAATCACAATTAACCTCTGAAGCCTTTCCAACTTCACCAAATTTTTCTTACGTTCAACGGCCAGATGCCAGACATGCACAGCGTAGAGCATCTTAGAAAGTACAGCAGCTTCATAAATTTCCTTTAACACTTCTGCTCTGAGTCTCCATGTCGCTCTTGCAGCCACTGACAGTCCATTTATAATCCTTAAAGTGTTGTCATACAGATTATCGATATGTCTGTTCCAATTCAGTTTTCTGTCAAAGAGAAGCCCCAAATATGATAATTTATCACATTGCGTTATTCTTACTGTATTGAGTCGAATATCCAATTCTGGTACAATTCTCTTTTTTGTGAAGATTATATATTTTGTCTTGTCTAGATTAAGTTTAAGTTTGTTGCTTCTAGTCCATTGTCTCAGCCTTGATAATGTTATGTTTGCTATTGTCTGTAATTCATTGAAATCTCTTCGTTTTATAAGTAATAATAAATCGTCTGCGTATGCTAATAATGTTGAATTTTCCTGTAGGTCTATTTCGAAAACAGTATTTATTAAGATGTTCCATAGTATAGGTGATAGTGCTGATCCTTGAGGAGTTCCTAGCGTCAATTTCTTGTCAATATAATGAAAGTTTGTTTGGATTGCAAGTTTTCTGTCTGAAAAATAATTTTGAATGATTTTGTATATGTTTTTTAGACATTTATATTTCTTTAGATTATTTAAGATCGCAGGCCACCAAACATTGTCAAAGGCACCCGAGATATTCAAAGAAACAACCAGTAAATTACTATTTTGCCGGAGTGTACTGGTGATATGGTCGTTCAATTCATTGAGAGCATCATCAGTTCCTGATTGGGGTCTGAATCCAAATTGGTGTCGGTGGTGTATATTGTTACTAAGTAGATGATGCAGTAATCTATTTTTTATTATTTTTTCAAAAATTCTGCTCATTACAGGAAGCATACTTAGTGGTCTCAGTGAAAATTAATTAGCCTTAGGAATCAATGTTAATTTACCCACCTTCCAGCTTTTAGGAAATTCGTTTCTTTTGAATAAGGTTTTATTAAGTCCAGTTATCAATTTTGGAAAGGAGTCAGCTATCTTTTTTATCATTCTTGGGTCAATTTTGTCTATTCCTGGTGCTTTCTTGTCATCCAATTTATTAATAACTTGTAATATTTCAAAATCCTGGATATTAGTGTCATCGTCAATATTAGGCGTGATAAGTATTTCTGTTCTCATTTGTCTGTGTTCGTTAGTGTCATCACTTGTATTGTCATCTTTGATTATCTTATTTAATATATGAGATAATGTATTCTTAATGCCTGTTGTGTATGTTCCTAGTTCATTCAAAGTGGTAGTGAGTAAGGTTTGAGGTTTTATTTTATTGGATACAAACTTACATTGCCTTTGAAGCAGTAGCAAATGTCTTCCAGGACTTTAATTTGGAACTTTTAATTAGCTTTTGATATGCTTATATATCATATATATATATATATATATATATATATATATATATATATATATGTGTGTGTGTGTACATATACATATTTAAAGAATATATCTAATACAAAATCAGTGTTTCAAATCAGATTGGTAGATCCTGAAATGAGCTTCGTAAAACAAACAACCACTTCTGTTATATATATTAGTATACAATATATATTTCAGAGATATACGTTATAGATATAGAAAGTAGGATAGTCTGAATAGAAAATATAGCTCATAAAATATCCATTTCATAAGTAGAATGAAAGGACAATATAAGGAAGAAATGAGAAATTATATGAAAGTCGTGTGTATCAGGAACCTAAATTTTGTCAATTTTTGTGGTTTGTATAGTGTAGGTGACACATATACCAACAGTGGGGCACAGTTAGTATATATTTTAGGTAATACATTTAATTTTATATCTCGTGAAATTCTTTTGGAATTTATAATAAACTCCAATGAGTTTTTTATTTCTTTATTTTTTATTTGTTAGTTACATCACTAATTTGTCAATTCATGATTTTCAAAATATTTAGGGAATTTGATCCCATTACCAGCCTACATTGACTTCTGTAATATTTCATATTATTAGCAATTTAGTTATAATTAGTCATATAACTAATAAATAAAAAATGAGAAAGCAAAACGCTCACTGTGATTTATTATAAAACTGTGATATATTAAAAACCCTTTGTTGTACTACATTACAAGTATTGTGCTTCCATTAATTAATAAGTAGAGACCGGATTTCCATGTTATTGCACATTTTATTCACTTACATGTTAAAATTTCAAACCCGATTATCTATCCATCTCATGGTCTGTAGAATAACATGTCAAAATTTGATACTGCACGTTTTGTTGTTTTTGGCCAAAATTGCACGATTTTGATTTTTGTAGCATTAAATTGCCTTTTTTAGGTTAAATTAGTATGAACTGAAGTTCCCTAAAAAACTAATCTGCCTAGCTCGACTCACAATGAACACGGTGGAATATAAAGTGAGAATCCAAGCTGGGGTGTCAGAGGAGTTCTGTACAAGAAAAGGGTTAAGGAAGGGTGACTCATTGGACTGCCTCCTGTTCAATGTGGCACTTGAAAAAGTTGTCAGAGATGCGCGAATACAGCTGGATGGGACCATCTTTAACAAGTCTATACATATCCTGGCATACGCAGACGGTATTGATATCATCGGGAGATCACTTTGCAGTAGGCATTTCTAGCTCTCGAACAGTCGGCGCGGAAGATGGGACTATCTATAAATGAGAGCAAAACGAAGTATATGGTTGCTGGCATAAATGCACTACATCCACAAATCTTGATTGGTGACTACACAGCTTCAATTTTGAAAGTCTTTTGCTTTATATATTTATGTTATATATATTTGCTTGAGATTAGAAAGTGTTTTTAGTGAGTAACCACTGCCATTTAGACAATACTATTTACAGTAAATGATTTTCTGTAGTGTCCAGATTTTTAATAAATAAATTATTTTCTTTGGATAGGTTTTTTTATTTTAGTTATTTAAGTTATATAGCCATAGACACATACAATATTAGTGTCCAAAAATGCTATTTGATTGGACTGGTGAGAGAGAAGGGTTTTACAAAGCAGTCCATTCATGGACCTTTGTGTATATATATACAAATATATATATATATATATATCGGGGCTGGAGTAGCCGTGCGGGCTAAGGTGCTTGCAATAGGTAACCAAGTTAAGCAACGCCAAGCGTGGTTAGCACTTAGATGGGTGACTGCCAGATTTGGGTGACCATCCACCAGGAAAAGCCATGCTGCCCAAGACCCCCCCCCCCCAGGGTTTGTGAGGCCTGTCAGGAAGCAACTTACACCGACTGGGAGTAGGACTGATGACCCTACCCCCTTGTACTTAAATGGGGAATCGGGATGTGGTCTAGAAGACCACATCTCGCGGTCAAAGATCTGCAAGGTCTGTAGCCAACCGAAAAAAAAAAAAAAAAAAAATATATATATATATATATATATATATATATATATATATAATTATAACAGTCTAGAACCTTCTTAAAATATTCTGGAACTCCTTTCTAGATCATTCTAAAGTACAACTATTGTTATTTGTACATTATTGAATGTTGAATATAGCAAAAATTTATAACAGATAATTACTCTAAAACTTGTACCACTACAGCCTTTGGAGGGTCATAAGCTTAGTACTTTATAAGGAAGTACTATTTCTAGGCTAACATTTGTGAAAGTGCAGGTGATGACCCAAATTATAGGTGTCCACTTTATAGAGGATGGGTATGCTCCAGGAATATCTATCATTACAATATAATTAATTATATTGTGTTTATGTATATATTTTGTTTTGTTTTTCAGACTAATATTTATATTACAATATTTTTGGCTGAAGTTAATGAACCTCACAATATTTTATCTAAAATAGACATAGATCTTGGACTACCTTTGATTGCTTCTGCAAAATAATCATCCTGAAAAAATAATGGAAAAAGATGAAACATTATAAAATATTATTCATCATATCATATAGAAAAAGTATTACCAAATATGTTTATAACAATGAAAATATTTTTGTAATTATATTTACTTTTTTATTTTACATATGAATATATTGTATTTGTATATATATAAATAAAGTTATATATTTTAAAAAATAAAGTTTCATTTTTATTTTAAACTTTTTTAACATCCTAAACCTATATATTTTTTAGTTTAATTAATAACCTAGATAAGTAATGCAATTTAAAAAAAAATCATGCTTTATATTTTTATTAATTTTAAATGTTTCTGTGAAGGTGGGTTAACACTGGAGGTAACATTGCTGATGACATGTTTGCTACTAACATTTGATTTTGCTTACACCAATTCATTGAAAATGTTAACACTATTTCACATTTCTGGCATGACAACAAAAAAAATTTCTAGGATAAGATCTATATAATATCAACAACTTTTGATAATAACATTTGATTTCATCTATCCTAATTCTTTAAATTTAATATTTTCATATATAGCTTTGCTAATAAAATCGCTACTTTTTTTTCAGTTATGTGTTACTAACATTGTCAATATCGTAAATTTTTTCGATTACCCCCATTGCATAAATTGCAAAATTTATGTTAATAGCACAATGTTCAAACCCAACATATTTAAAATGGTATGGAGATGGTTGACCGAAGGTTCTAGTTTCAGAAGAAGTTAGTTGGGGTGCCGTAAAAAAATATTATATTATATAATAATATTTTTTAACCACACTCCCAACTAACTCCTTCCAACATATTTAAACTCATTTGATCGATCTTAAAGCCTATTCATACAAATCCAAAGCAAAATAATCTACTGTAGTACATTTTATTTTGAAGAGTGATTAAAATAATTTCATGTAACATATATATTTTTTTTTTTTTTTTTTCGGTTGGCTCTTCAGACCTTGTAGATCTTTGGCCACCTGAACCAGCCTTCTCCACCTCTGCCTATCTTGGACTACTGCTTTCCAGTTTGCTGCATGAAGCTCAGCCATATCTTTGTTTATCCTATCTATCCATCTGGTTTTTGGCCTCCCATGTGGTCTCTTGCCTACTACTCTGGCATTCATTGTCGTGTAGAGGCGTCCTGATGGATTACTACGAGCTACATGCCCTGCTCATATTAACCTCCTTGCCTTCATGTCATGAGATATTGACTGACCCGTTTCTTTCAACTGTTCTTTATTGTTTCTTCTCTTCCATGTGTCAAGGTTCTGGTCCCATTTAGGTCCTGTTATCCTACGTAGAACTTTTCTTTCGAATCTCTCAATTCTGGCTTTTAATATGCCAGTTAGAGCCCAGGTTTCACAGCCGTACAGCAGAACTGGCTTAATCAGGGCGTTGTACACCCTTATTTTGAGATTTCTGGAGATTTTTCTGGATTTCAGTACCTGAAAGAGAAGAAAGATCTGTTCGCACTTGTTATTCGCTGGTCTTTCTCTGTTAGTTGATCATTTATTGTGGTTGTTGTGGAGTCGAGGTATTTGAATCTGTCTACTTTCGGGAATGACTTAGAATCCACGCAGATCATGTTATTAGGGTGGATGTTTGGGCTAACTATCATGTATTTTGTTTTATCTACATTGACCTGTAGTCCGATTTGCTCTGCTTCTTTTAATAGAGTCCGAGCGAGTCTCTCAATATCCTCTTGATTACTTCCGAGGACAGCTATGTCATCGGCATATGCTAGGATTTTATGTTTCATTCCAACGTGCACCCCTCCATCTTTGCGTGATGTTATTCTTATTACTTTCTCTAGTGCTAAATTGAACAGCATCGGCGAGAGTCCATCTCCCTGCCTCAAACCCGTTTGAACTTCAAAGGCTTCAGATGCATCTCCTTGTATTAGTACCCTGCATTTAGGATCATTTTTACACGCCTTCGTCAACCTCAATAATTTCCCGGGAACACCCAGCTCAGTCATGATCTTCCAGAGACAGTTTCTGTCAACGGAGTCAGGCCGATTTGAAGTCGACAAATAATGCGTGTACGTCCTGATCTACTTCCCATCGTTTTTCAAGTACTTGTTTCAGAATGAATATCTGATCTAGCGTACTCCTCCCTCTCCTGAATCCTGTTTGATGGCCGCCTATTATGTTTTCACAATACGGATATATCCGATTTAACAGAATATTAGTCATTATTTTATAGGCGACCGGAAGAAGTGCTATGCCTCTGTAATTGCCACATTCATACATGGAGCCCTTCTTAAGGATAGGACAGATCAACCCTGTGTTTCATGCTTCTGGTATCCGTTCCTTCTCCCATATCTTCTGGATTAGATCGAACAGCTTGGCTCTGAGTTCTTCTCCCCCATCCTTGAACAATTCTGATGGTAGGTTGTGTATCCCTGGGGCCTTTCTTCTTTTAAGCCTGGCGATAGCTATTTCCACATTCAGAATATCTGTTTTTTCAACCTCAAGTAGGTCAATGTCCTCAGTGTGGTCCATGTCTTCTTCCTTTGTGGGGTTCCCTTGGTTAAGCAGCTGCTGGAAGTGTTCCTTCCAGATGCTTAGGATCTTTTCTTTTGATGCCGTCAATTTTCCATCTTTCCCTCGCATTTGTGTATTTATCGCTTTATATCCTACCCTTTCTTTCCTGATATCTGCGAAGAATTCGCATATATTTCCAGCCTGCCAGTTTTCCCCAATAGTTTGTAATCTTTCTTGGAGAAATTCTCTTTTGGCTGTTCTTATTATTTTGTTTGTCTTTTTCCTGGTGGCTGTGTATTTGTCATTTGTCCAGCATGGCTTGATTAGTTACTAAGCAGAGGACTTTTCTTCTTTCCTCCACTGCCTTTTCGCATGCATGTGAACCATTTCTTGACTTTTCTTTTTTCCTGAATTCCTATTACTTCCTTAGCTGTTTGTTTTAGCCCTGACTCTAGTGCCTCCCAATGTTGGTCTACTATGAGACCTTCTGAGTTCAAGGGTTCGAATTTATTTTTCAGCTCAATTTGAAATTCAACTTGTACTATAGGGTTTTTCGAATTACGGACTTCGTACCTCTGTTTTTCCAATTGGTTCCCAATTCGGTGGATTCGCTTCAGCCCCTGACAGAGTTTGATTCTAATCAGAGTATGGTCCGAATCACAGTCTGCTCCACGATAATTCCTTATGTCTTGTATGGAGCTTTGATGCCTCTTGTCTATCAGCACATGGTCGATTTGGCTTTTTGCTCCTTTTTGACTTACCCAGGTATACCTATGTATGTCCTTGTGCAGGAAGATCATCCTGCTTACTACTAGACCTTTAGCTGCTGCCAGTAACATATATCTGGGTTGTGACAGTACTAAGTGAATTTTTTTTTTAAATTCTGTAATTTCTTAGTACTGTTACAACCCAAATTTACTAGCATAGTAAGTTGTTAGTCTTGAACTATATGATAGATGAGACTACTGTCACAGGCTGCAAGTTTGTAAAGTGACTGCTTCACTGTATTATATTAACGAGTTGCTCTCATTGCACCAATTATTTCCAAATGAGAAATTATTATATTCAATGATGACACGTGGACAATCCTGTCACTCTCATTTCATAAAAACACCAGCCACAAATGCTACTCTACTTTCTTCTGCAAAAACAGGGGTACTCTTGGCTGTCTTGTAAGTACCTATTGGACCAATCTTTCTTCGTATAATGGACTTCATTAAATATTCGGTCCATTTTAATTATTTTTACTGATATTTTGTGACAACTCCTCATACTATTATTTTTCAGAATCTACAACTACTGTAATAATTTCGGGAAGATGTTGGTCTGACACACAGGCGGATCTACAGGGGGAGATGCTTTTGGGCTGAAGCTCCCTCCCCCCCTCCCAAAATTGTAAAATGGTAACAAATATTAAAACATTATCTCTTAAAGTATTGTACTTGTAATTACATTTAATAGGACTTCAAAAATCACATAAACACCATTTTATAAATGTAGTTAGTATGTTTCTTTTTTTTTCAAAGTAATTATCGTTATATATATGAAAACAAAAAAAAGATTTCAGGATGAAGCTCCCTCTTCCCAAAATTAAATCCTGGATCCACTAGTTGTCCGACAGGTATTTTCTACATGATATAAAAATTCTGACCAACTAATTCAATCATTAGCGTCTGCACTATAGAAGTATTGGGTAGCCAAGATTAGAGCAATATTCATAAAGTTGCCCAGTCAGCAGTTTATTACCTATAATATAATTATTACTTTTTGGTTTTTGAGGTTTTTTGGGAGACATTTTAAAAGTAAATTGCTGTGAAATATTGGAAAACCAGTGAAACTCTGACCCCCTACATAAAATATTGAGAGGGGGCAGAAAGTGCCTTCACCAACCACAACCCCAGTGCTGGCGTTTATGAATGTAACTGTGAAACCTTGAAATATTTTCTTAAGAAGCTTTGAGGTGTCAATGGGAATATAGAATGAACTTATTTTGGTGTTATTTTTTATGTTATCCCAACTTAAACAAAATACATTCTTCTTGGGTTACACCAACTTCAGTAAAACGTCACTCTTTTAAGAGTTCCATTTGATATTGTACATTGACTTGTTCTATTGAGCCTTTTTTTTTTCTCCCTTTCTTTGCCTTTTAGGCTACACAGGGTTTTTTTTTTTCTCGGCCCGGGGGAGAGGGCGGGGAAATTATGCCGAGTTAAATGTCCCTCCGGGCACAGGGATTTGAACTCGTAATTATCTGTTTTTTTAAATCATATTTATCAGATTGCCGGGCAACGCATGGTGCTGTGCACACGCTTTAGCCCTCTCGGTCACCCCGCCTCTCGCGCCAATTGAGCCTAATCATCAAGTGATATTTACGCACCGTACAGCGGCGGATCCAGGAATTTTCTCAGCACCTCTGTACCAGATGCTTCTTCCCCAACCCCTACTCGTTCCCCCATCACTACCCGTCTCCCCCCCCACTCCTTAGCTGAGTTTAGCTAAATGGTAAGTTCCTCTTTAAATGGTTTTAGCAAAAGCAAACTGTATTTTTATTTCAAGTAAATTTTTTCTAGTTTACAATGAAGCAATCGTTAATTTCTTAAATTAAATAGTTTTTTGTTATTACTTCCTATTCAATAAAAAACGTGACTTACATAAAAATTCCCTACTTTCCTGCTGAAAATCTAACCATTGTTTATATAAACCTTTTTGTATTTCTTGAGGTCTGCCATCACTCCTTTAAATATTTCCCTCTACTTACAAGACGCCCTGTATATGGGTTTAGACATATAAACAACTAAACTCCTAACCTAACACGGGTCAGCTAAGAAAACTTTTTACAGCCGAAAAATCCCGATTTATCTGATCTTTTTTTTCATGTATTACTACTAAACAATGCATCAAAGCTAAAAATGTATTCATTAAGAAACTAAAGAACGTCCAACTGTGCGTCGAACAAGTACCTAAACTTAATAATTTGATTATGTGATATGGTCGATAACCAATCTCAATGAACGCTTATTTTTAACGACATTGTCAAAATCTGAGAAAGATTACTATTAATGGCCCTGCAGCTTGGAAATGAGTTCTCTAAGAAAACAAACTCCGAATAATTTCCGATTCCGTTCATTATCAGATTCCGATCAAATCGGTGACTAAATAATTAGTACCTCCCTTCATGAAAACGTTCTCAACAGCTGCTATTTTAACAAAAGAATACTTTCTAATGAGAAATATACAAATTATTATCGTGACCAGTTGTATGAATCGCATGGATTCTTCAAGGAGTCTATAGTTGCAATGCATCCAAATCTATTGGTACTGAATAAAAACTGTATTTTCTTGTACTGGAATAAAAGATTGTTCGAAAAAAAAGCTTTTTTTAATATAAATTTTCCTCAATCACGTATTTCACCGGCGAGCACTAGCGGATCCAGGATTTAATTTGGGGGGGGGGCATCGGCCCGAAAGATTTTTTTTTCATAAATCTTCATAAAAATAATTTGAAAAAAAAAAGAAATAAATTAACTGCCTATATGAAATGGTGTTTAAGTGGTTCCTGAAGTCCTATTAAATGTAATTAAACGAACAAGAATACTTTAAGAGATAGTTTTTAATATTTTTTTGTGAAATATAGTTATATTTTACCATTTGGGGGGGGGGGGCTTCAGCCCGAAAGCCCCATGGAAAATGGAGTAAGTGCTGATGCCAGAATCCATGGAATCAGGAACTGGTGGAGGCTGCTGAGGACAGGGAAACATGGGAGAAAACTCTTGAGGCAGCCAAGATCCAGTAATGGATTGTCGAGCTTGGGATGATAATATTGATCACATTAGAAAATTCGTCTTAGAGCTTGATTTTTTCCTATATTTCTCTTTTCTTTAAATAGATGTTTTTTTGTCACTTTTCGGAATTTGTTTTCACCGTATAAGGAAGGGCGCGCTCTTTGACCGAATTAGCTAATGCTGGTCACGGTAATAATTTTTTTTTTTTACATTACATTAGGAAATTCGTGTATGAGGATTATTTTTTCTACATTTCTCTTTTCTTTAAATAGCTGCTTTTTGGAACTTTTTATGGAATTTGTTTCCAGCTTCCAGGCGGAGGGGGGCGCGTGCCCCCCGCGACTACCGGCTGGATCCGCTCTTCCGCCGCATGGATTTTTTTTTATAGAAAAACCATCATCATACCTTACCTTTATTGTTCATTGAATATTAGAAACAAGCACTAGCTTATAAAAAATTTCACTTAGAGAAAACATTTTTTTCTACTGGCAAATGGTGTCTAGATTTAGAAGAAAAAATCCATAACAAGTATTAACAGATAATTTATTAAATTGAAACATTTTCTAGCTATTAATGTATAAAGCCTACTTAAAAGTAAATAAATCTATGTGTTTTGTTTCAATGCATTGTTATAGCAGAATAGCGTTATATCGTAGAAACATTATTTTATGCACTATAATAAAATACGAATGTTGAGTTTATATTTTAAAAAGTCAATGAATGAATGATTTAGCATATATAATACAGGTAAAGTATGATTATATTACATCATTACTATCACTGGTTAGAATTATTAATTACTAATTTAACGAAACGATATGTTGCTCTTTGAATAAACTAAATTAAAATAGGATGGTTGCAATAATCTTACTTGTATCATTTTTAGTGTATACAAAGTAACAGAGATGCCCATCCCCTCCATCACCCCCTCCCCCCCCCCCGATCACACCAAGGTCGGTGGTGCGTGAACTTCCCTCGTCCACCTTCTCCCAAAACTCTATTGCTCTTCTCTTTTTAATAACAGTGCTAGCTTAAGTATACTTTTAGAAATCATAGGTCATATAAGTTATTTTTATATTTTTTATGAAAATTAAGTTTTTCTCTCTCTACAGTGTTCTATGCTGTTTGCTTTCCTCCTGTCCCTTGATTTCGAAAATTCACAATCCCCTCAAAATGTACCTCCCCTCAAAAATTCAAAACCCCGTCAAAATGAGCTTCCCTCAAAAATTTTGATGGCGCAACTTAAGCCATAAAACCCCCTTCTGGGCACCCCTGCTTAGTAACAAAAGCAAATGGCACCGTTGTGTAGCGCCTTTCTTATACTATTGACAAATTAACGGATAAATGTCACTGTTCACAATTTTCCGTAATTTTTATTCATTGATAAACTTTTTTAGCTATCGCTGGACGGTAGCTTCTGTGCATTGGATCACATATACAATTCCTGATGAGTATACTTGATCACTGCTCTTCCCTTGCTGCTTGCTGTTTTTCTATTAGAAAAACCTGTCAAGCTCCCTCCTATATCATAGCTATCGTATTATTAGGTCAAGTCTCAATTGTATACTTTAATTAAAGTATTAAAACAGCCCCTCCCTTCCCCTCCTCCTCAAGAAACACTGTATAATTATATTTTAAAGATTAAGAGAATTTGTAAGAGTAAAGAATACCTCAATCAATGAACACTATAAGAACCAAAGCCTATTAAATAGAAAATAAATTAAAAACAATGTTAAAAAGCTTGCATTAGTTGTAGATGACATCATTTTCTGCCTAGACTCTGGGTTGCAGTATAACGAATCCGTTTCCGTATTTAAGTCTACACGTCATGCAACTCAAATATAACAGTACAACTTATTTTGAAAATTGTTTATTTAAATGTTAGTGTAATATTTGTTGTGTACAATACAGTAAGACAAAAACTCTTAAATGTAAAACGCTAGGGAAGCTACTATTATTTGGTTTAGCCCTTTGTTGTAAGGATTTTAATTTATTTTTTATTTTTCTTATTATATGAGATTATTCCTTCCTTTTTTATTCATTTGTTGCTTAAGGTTGATTTACTCTGTTATATATATGAATGTTCTGCTCTATTACCTTCTTCCATCTCTTAGGAAATCTCTTATACCCTTTTTCCAAAATAGTTGAGAATTACTTGTAAAATATTCATCGAGATGCGTTTTTATTTCTCTTTCGGACTTGTGACATTTATCTCGGAGAGAATTTTTTAACGAATGCAACAAGTTATAATCGGTGGGGGAAGGTATGGGAGTACGAAGGATGAGGTAGAAAATCCCAATCAAACTGTAAGATAGAAACTGAAAGTGAAGATAGACCGACTCAGCACGTTTTTATAAGTGTTACTGAAAATAAAGTGTTACTCTCTCTTTTCCATGTAATCCAAAAAAAACTTTCGAGGACCGGACTGGAGGTGCTTGCGGGCCGTAGTTCGGAGACTTCCAGGAGGAAAGCCCAACCTCCTTAAGATTGATGACGCATGAACCTTCCCCTCCCTTTCCAAGGTATTTTATTGTTCTCCTCTTTTTTAAAAACAGTGCAAACAAAAGTAGAATTTAAAAGTTCGTAGATTATGTACAATTACTTACCCAACAGTAATGTAATCATCTTTAAATACGTATGTCTACATCAAGATCATATGTTTACTACAGTATCTTTATTTTTAATATTATGAAAATGTACATGTTTCTTTATTTTAATATTAAGATTAGACAACTTTGTAAATTAATTTATTTTTAATTGTCATTTAATTATTCATAATTGTCATTTATTTGTTCATTGTGGTTATTCTGAGGGGACTAAATGTTCCAGAATAAAATTTACTTTATTTCTTTCTTACAGTCTGTTCTTTGCTGACGCTTGTATTTTTATTTAAAATCCTTCATATCGAAAATTCATTATTTTATCGAAATGTGCCCCCTCTCAAAAAATCAAAATTCCGTCGAAATGTGCTCCCCTCAAATATTTTGATGTAGCAACTTGCAACATGAAACATTCTTCTGGGCAACCCTGAAGACCTCTGCTTTTGGGTATAACTACCAAGGGCGACCCCCAATCGCTTGTTGGTGCTTTGTATAATATTGCTGCGGTTTCGAGTGAGTCTAATTCTGTTTCTAAATTTTCTCGCAGTGCGTGCGGTACGTTCCTTCCTGAAATATAAGTAGTTTTAGCATTATATCGGAGTTGAAGTTTAGTAATAAAATCTGGTACACATCTTACTTTTTTGACAAAAATATCTGTAATATCCGGAATGTTGTTAATGTTTAAGTTACTCTGATAAATGTTAATTGTCTTTTCTTTCTTGTCTATATCTTGTAAATTTATTTTCAAGTATCTAACTCACACTCGTCCTAGCAGGGGGAGGGAGGCATAACCATCAAATACAACGTAAAGGTCTTCATAAGTGTCTTTATATATTATTCTTCCAAGTGGTCTAAAAACGTTGTCTGAATATGGTTTAAAAGCAATATTTGATGTTGAAGTGGCTTTTGGATTTTAAATGTTTAAATTGAGTTTCAGGCATGAGTGTGTTTAATAAAAATTAATTATTTTAAGTATAATCATCAAATTGTTACAACAACCATGTAAGGCCCACCAGGCCGATCTGGTAATAAATAAATTAAAAAAAAAAAATTTAAGTAGATACATTTATAGATAATTAATTTTTATTTTGAATAATTCATTTATTGTTTAATGTTTACAGAACTTTCTAAAGAAATTGCCTGCAGTTGTGAAGAAAGTAGTAATTATTAGTGGAAAATGGGTGACACTCCGCCAAACGATGAATCTGATCCGCAACAATCGAACAAATGGTGAGTAATAATGAATGTTGTGATTTTAAGTTAACTTTGTACATAGTTGATATAACTTGAAAACTTATGTTCACTCAATAAATAAATAATAACTGTTAGTATTTGGTATGTCGAATACAATTATTTGTAAATCTTTACAATCTAAAAATTGTAATTGAAATATAAGATTCTTTTTTTTTTTGTAGTATTTCTATTTCATATAGCTTTTACATCAATTGATAAATTATAATGAATTAAACAATATTGAACAATCTATATCATGTGTTAATAATCGCAGATAATATTATTATCATATCGAGATAAATCGATAGAAGCAACAACTCTTCGCGACTTAATTAAGCACATAATCGGAAAGATATACTGGAGGACAATGACGTCTCTGTGATTTGCGTAGAGGCTGGAAGTTGGTCATTATTCAGGAGTAGAAGCGGTGTGACTTTCTGATCTACCATTCTCCGTCAAATCTGCATGAGATCTTCCACGAGTCCTTTGAGTTATTGGTTCAGAAACCCCGAAGGTATTGCTTTCTATTGGTGTAGTAGACGTTGGAATGCCAAGGTAGGAGGATCATACTGTGGTGGATCCAGGAATTTTCTCAGGGGGAGGGAGTGCATCTCTGTATTAGGTGCTTCCTCCACCATTACCCATCTTCCCCACTCCTTAGCTGAGTTTAGCCCCTCAAAAGTCCTCTTTAAATGCTTTTAAAAATAGCAAACTCTATTTCGATTTAAAGTAAATTTTGTCTCGTTTACAGTGAAGCAATCGTTAATTACTTAAGTTAGACAGTTTTTTAGTTATAACTTCCTATTCAATAAAAAACGTGACAATTAAAAATCGCAAAACTTTAAATTTCCTACTTTCCCACTGAAAACCGAACCATTATTCATAAACTTTTTTGTAGCTCTTCAGTTCTGCTATTACTCCTTTAACTATTTCCCACTGCTTACGGGACACCCTATATATGGGTTTAGACATATAAAAAACAAAATTGCTAACACTGGTCGCCAAGGAAAAACTTTTTACAGCCAAAAAAGCGAGATTTATCCGATTTTTTAAAAAATCTTTTAATACTAAACAGTGCATCGAAGCGAAAAATATATTTAAAAAATTAAAGAACGTTAAGTTGTGTGTCGAACGAGTACCCAAGCCTAATAATTTGTTTAAGTGATTTGATCGGTAACCAAGGAATTAAATGGTCAACGAACGTTAATTTTTACCAACTTTTTCAAAATCTGAGACAGATCACTATAAATGGCCCTGCAGGTTGGAAATGAGTTCTCTAAGAAAAAAAACTCAAAAAAAAGGATAAATCCAGATTCCAATCATAATTAGATTCCGATCAAATCGGAGACCAAATAATTTGTACCTTCCTTCATGAAAAAGTTACCAACAGCTATTCTGAGAAAAGAAAAACACTTTATAATGAGAAATATACAAATTATTACCGTGACCAGTTTTATGAATTGCATGGATTTGTCAAGGAGACTACAGTTGCTGGAGGTTACAATGCGGCCAGATCTATTGAAACTGAATAAAAAATGGGTCCGGGAGGTAAGCCATATTTCCTTGTGCTCGAATAAAAGATTGTTCGAAAGAATAAATAATGTTCATTTTTTTATAAATAAATTTTCCTCCACCATTTATTTCACCTGTGAAACTCAGTTCGGAGTCAGTTGGAATAAACTGCGACAGGAACACAAGCCTTCGCATCTCATGGCGGCCCAAAAACTACATCACTTCCCTCTACAAGCCAATTTTTGCTCTGACATTTCATTCTTTGTTCACAAAATTTCGCCGTGCGCCAAAGGCTGGGCGCTACTTGATCCACAGCCTGATGAGGTGACGTGATATGACAAACCGTCTGATTAATAAGAATGGTCATGATAATAATTTTGTTTAATATTATATTAGAAAACTCGTCTATGAGGATAAATTCACCCTATATTTCTCTTTTCTTTAAATAGCTGTTTTATGGGATTTTTTCAGAATTTTTTATCCACCATCAGGGGGAGATGTACTCCTTGGCGATAGTGGTTGAATTCGGTGGTTGAATTCGATAGTGGTTGTCACAGAAATAATAATATTTTTTATATATTAAACACCTCGCGCGGGCTCATTACCGCGTATGGGGAGCGTCCCACGGGTGGCGGATGTGGGGATGGTCGGTGGAAATTCCTTGGAAGTTCCTCCCGGCTAAGTCCGATGGACTCGCTGACCAACAATGAGAGGGGCCCTCCAGACTTGCTGGAGGGAGGGGACCTCCAGACTTGCTGGAGGTAGGGGCCCACCAGACTTGCTGGAGGGTGTGACGTAGGATTGAACGCCCTACTCACATATCTTTAGTTCACCAAACACCACAAATAGTCATGGATCTCCCTAAGGTAAAACGCTCTAACGCTCTAATCGGATAATTCCGGAGGTAAACTAGTCCCCCGTTCGGGTCTCCGGGTGGGGACTGCTTTAGGGGATTCATGGCGCAAGTTGAAATATAGGGATTTAAATATTGGTACGTGGAACGTAAGGAGTTTAAACACAGCAGGGGGGCTAAAATCGGTCGCGAATGAGGTGAATGGGTACAATTTGGATGTCGTGGCTCTGCAAGAGGTTCGCTGGCCAGGAGAGGGCTCGATGAGGGAAGGAAGGTACACTATTTGGTACGGAGGAAGCGGGAATCATTGTTTGGGTACCGGGTTTCTAATTAGGAGTAGATTACTATCCGCTTTGAAGGACGTACAATTCTTTAGTGATAGAATTTCGGTAGCTACATTTCAGGGACGTTGGTTTAAAATCGCATTAATAAACATACATTGTCCGACCGAAGACAGTGACGATGAAGTCAAAAGTGAATTTTACGATAAACTCGAATGGGTTTATGATAAACTACCGCGAAACTACATGAAAATAATTATAGGTGACGCGAACGCAAAGGTAGGAAGGGAAGAAGTTTATATTCCGACGATTGGTAAAGAAAGTTTGCACGAATATAGTAATGATAATGGGATCCGTCTGATAAACTTTGCCATCTCGAAAAACCTGATAATTAAAAGTACGACGTTTAAACATAAGGATATTCATAAATATACTTGGACTTCACCGGATTCGCAAACACGAAATCAAATCGATCATGTCTTGATACAACATAGCTGGCAAAGCAGTATAATTAATGTACGGTCTTATCGCGGAGCAGAATGTGGGTCGGATCATGAATTAGTAATCGCGAAACTTCGACAAAAACTTAATATAAAAAAGAGAAAAGAAAACCGTTTCGATTTTGAGAATTTTAATTTGGACAAATTAAAAAATCCATCAATTAGAACCCAATTCGAGCTAGATGTTAAGAATAGGTTTGAAGCTTTAGAGCTTCCTGACGAGGACCACGAGGATATTGACAAGTTATGGGTAGAGATCAGGGATAATATTAAAGCGGTCGGTAACTCGTGTCTAGGAAAAAAGGAAAATAAGAATAACAAACCGTGGTTTGATGAAGATTGCTTAAACATGTGCGAAAAACGAAAAGCCGCTAAATTAAAAGCTCTAAATAATCCTAGCGAAGAAAATCTGGAATACTTCCGAACCTCAAAGAATGAAACGACAAAATTGCTCAAAAATAAAAAAAGGGAGTATCTTAAAAATAAAATAATTGAAATAGAAACTAATAGAATCGAAAATAACGTAAGAGACATGTACAAAGGTATAAACAGATCACGTAAATGTGTAGGGCCCGTAACGTCTGGAATTAGGGATGATAATAACAATATTCTGACCGATCCGGTTGACATATTGAATAAGTTTAAGGACCACTTTGACAATATTTTAAATACGGGAAATTATGATCTGTGTCCTCTTTCTGAGTACCAGAGTGCTGAACCGTTGATAGAAGTACCGAGTAAAGAGGAAGTTGAATTAGCTATCGGAAAATTAAAATCTTATAAAGCAGCGGGAACCGACAATATTCCTACTGAACTAATTAAGGCATGCGGGGAAGCTGGAGTTTCTAAAATACATCGGTTGGTTAAAAAGATCTGGGTGAATGAGAAATTACCTGAAGAATGGAAAGAATCTATTCTTATTCCGATTCACAAAAAGGGTCCGAGGACGGATTGTAATAACTATCGAGGAATTTCACTCCTTCCGGTATGTTATAAAATATTTACTTTAATCTTAACCAGTCGAATCACGGAATACGCCGAGGAAATTATCGGAGACTACCAATGCGGATTTAGACGGAATCGTTCGACTATTGATCAAATATTTTCTTTACGGCAAATATTAGAGAAAAAATTGGAGTACAACGGTATTGTTCACCAGCTGTATATAGATTTTAAAAAGGCTTACGATTCTATTGACCGCCAGAAACTGTATAATATTCTAATCGAGCAGGGGATTCCTAAAAAATTAGTAAATCTAGTCAGGATGTGCTTGACGGAGACACTCAATAAAGTTAGAATCGGTAATAATCTGTCAGAAAAATTTGAGGTTCGGTCGGGTTTAAAACAGGGGGATTCCCTTTCGCCTGACCTGTTCAATTTGGCATTAGAACATGCCATTAGGGAGGTAATGCGTACCGAGAAAGGGTTGGATCTGGGTGGGACAACATCCGTGCTGGGCTATGCGGATGATCTGGTACTATTAAGCGAAGACCTTGAAACTATAAAACTAAATACGACAACGTTAATGAAAGCCGGTAAAGAACTAGGACTCGAAATAAACGTGGATAAAACAAAATATATGGTTAGCTGCAAAAATGGCAATACTACTGGTGATATCGATATAGATGGTAATATATTTGAACAGGTAGATAAGTTTAGGTATCTAGGTTCTACGATAACTAGAAAAAACGAAATTGAAGAAGAAAATAAGGTTAGACTGAAAGCGGGAAATGCTTGTTATTTTTCTGTGACAAAACTACTTAGTTCGCGCCTCTTGTCCCGAAACTTAAAAATTAGAATCTATAAAACAATTATCTTGCCTACAGTTATTTATGGGTGCGAAACTTGGCCGCTTACATTAAGGGATGAGCAGCGTCTTAAGGTTTTTGAAAATAAAGTATTGCGTAGAATATTCGGACCGAAGAAGGATGAGTTAACCGGAGAGTTCAGACGGTTACACAACGCCGAATTGCGTGAACTGTATCCGAGTAATATAATTGAGATAATTTCATCGCGGCGGATCAAATGGGCTTGTAAAGTTGTTGGGCTTAGTAATGAGAGAATTCCTAAAAGATTAATATTTACTGTGCCGAATGGTAAGCGTCCGAGGGGTAGACCGAAGCGAAGGTGGGAAGATTGCATTAAAGCCGATCTGAAGGGACTGGGTTTGGACGGCGAACAATGGAGGGAGGTGTGCAATAAGCAATTGGTGGTGTCGGCATCGAACCTTCGAGTTCGCTAAGCCTTTTTATTTATTTATTTATATATTAAACAGCTGTTTTTCAATTTTTTTTCCACCATCCAAGAGAGACAGAGGTGCACCCCCCCAGCTGGATCCGCTATTACTGGTCACTGTAATATTTTTTTTTTTATATCATATTAGAAATTTCGTTCACTACTACGAGCAACTAAACGTCTCCTAAACAAATTTCTTATAAGACCGGTTGTGAAATACGGATGCAAAATATGGACACTGACGAAGGCCAGTAACATTAAAATATTATTTTTTGAAAGGAAGGTCCTTCGGAAGATATTTGGCCCAGTTAAGGAGAATGGTGAATGGAGAATTAGACGCAGCCAAGAACTAGCCAATTTATACAAGTATCCGGATTTGGTGAAACATATCTGTTTAACTAGGCCGAGATGGGCGGGCCACGTAGTACGGATAGACGAGACTTCAACCCAAAGAAGTTGCTGAGCATGGAACTGGGTGGAAAAAGAAAAGTGGACAGAGCGAAATTGAGAACTGAGGTATGGGTTGTATTTGGTAAAACTTTTACTCTTATAACGGATAATAAACCATTAAGTAGGATTTTTCATGAAAGTACAAACCTACCGGCAATGACTGGCTTACCAATTTTGACTTATGAGATCCAACATCGACCAGCAAAGGAAAATGCACATGCAAACTACTTATCAAGAACACCACTGAAAGAAGAAACTACTACAATAGCAGAAGAAATAAATACAAAAGTTGATTTAATATCCAATGAAGCACAATACAATATTTTAAACAATTCATTGAACTACAAGACTTTACAGGAGGAAAGAGCCTGAGACGAAGAGTTATCTAAATAAAACTGAATTATTAAACAAATATTGTTACGATTTAGAAATATATTTACAAAACGGAATAATTTTCAAGTGTCAGCGGATTATGATAGCTCAAACTCTCTTTAGGTATGATTTTATAAATATATGATGAAATGAGATTTTATTATCATATTGCGATAAATAGTTACATGTTTTAAAGTGAAAAAAACAGCTAAAACATGCATTACTATGTTACGCGACAATAAATGAACGGATGTATACTACATTAGTCTGAAAGAGAGATTTTTCAATATATCCATAATTAACGTACAAGCACCAACAAAAGAAAAAAAATGAAGAAAAGCAGAAATTCTATTCTAAACTGGAAAAGTCATATAATAAAGTTCCCAAATATGATGTCAAAATTATCTTTAGAGATTTCGATGGATAAATTGTAAGAGAGAACATTGGAAACTCTGTTGGAAAATATAGTTTTCAAAAAATAACAAATGAGAACGGTTACAGAGTAGTAGATTTCGCAAACAGCAAAAATATGAAAATAGTAAAAACCATCTTCCAGAATAAGCCTATACACCTACAAACTTTGATATCTCCAGAAGGCAAAGTCAAAAATCAAATTGATCATGTCGATAGTAAGTATCAAAGTGGCATTGAAAACGTGAGGAGCCGCAGATGGATCTAGTGACCACTTCTTGGTTCGGGTGAAGTACAAGCAGACTGGCTACAGGAACAAAAAGGAAAACTGCAAACAATAGTAAAAAATATAATACTAGCGCCCAAAATAATACCTGAGATCCAAAAAGAATATAAAAAGAAAGTTGAGGAATATCTAAGAAGCAGTCCATTAGAAGAAAAATGTACAAAATAGATGGGATAGAATCAAGACTGCAATCATAAATGCTGCAAAGGAAACGTTAGAAAATGCCTCTGGTTCGATCAGGAATGCCAAATCTCGGTTGAAAAAAAAAAAGAAAGCTCATATAAATCTTTATATCATCTGATACAGAGAAGAACAGTAGAAAACTATAAACAGAAGAGAGAAGCCACCAAGAAACTATGCAGGAACAAGAAGAGGAGAATATAAAAGCATTGATTGAGGATTTCGAGGGTAAAAATACCAGAGGCTTCCACAATAAAATGAAATCGTTAAGGAGGGAATTCAAGGCCGAGTTTCTGCAAAGGCAAGGATGGCTAGGAAATAATTGAAAGATGGAGAAGATTATTCAATGAACTGTTTCACCCCAAACCCGAAGAATTATTAAGAAGGCTAAGACCCTTCATGGACTATAGCGCCATCAGAGTTAGAGTTAGTCGATTGACTAAAGAATATCTAAGCAAAATTGAACTTGACGAATCTCACAGTCGGCATTAGTTGATATTGACAAATCGATTGAGAACTTTCGGAAGTGTATTACACCCAGATTTTATTTTTTTAATTTTTTCTATTTATTCCACAGAGGAATCTCATATATAGATAGACTAGTTATCCGTAAAAAAAAATTATTTCTCTTTTTTTTTTAGATATTGATCACGTACTATATCCTATGTTCCTCTATCTTTATTACTTATTGACCTTAATTGAGATATATTGTAATATTTTATTATGAACACAGTTTTAGAAATCAGCAATTACTAATAATATCCTAACTTTTTGTTTTTAGGAGTTGGTTTATTGACGAATGTACAAATGATTTAGAACGGCGAAGAGATGTATATTCATTTGGAGAAACAGTTAAATGCAAAGAATTATGCGGCATAGAAACAATCATTATTGACAAAAACGAGAGTCAATATGAAAATTTTGCCAATATTTGCTTGTTCCTTCCTCGTCCGTTACCCGATGATTTGGGTCCATTGGATAATTATGTTTCAAAAGTGCGAACAATGTTATTGGAAAGAAAAGCCATTCCAGAAGGCAATTGGATCGGATTTGATGCTGGACCATTTCCACTCCCTTTCTACCCTTGGTCCTATTCATCTGAACTCCCGGATCTTGAGAGAAGAACCTTTGACTTAAGAACAAGAATACAAGAAGAAAATGAACGAATCGTAATTTTGTTTTAATAAATTATTAATGTTTTAAATAAAACTTAAAATTTTAACTAATTTATATGATAATTTACAAAGCATAGCTTTTATTAATTGTTTATACATTTTTCAGGAAAGGCCCAACCGCCATTTTGAGAGAAGACTAAACAATTATTTTAGTGGAACCGGTATAGAACCAGCATTAACACTTGCCATTGCCTCTTACCTATCGAATTTCTGCTTACCTAACTTGGACGTTTTTCATCTGTATCCTTCAAAATAATACTTTACCTTTGATTTGATTTTTCTAATTACCTTGCCTTATTTATCAAACTTGGGTCATTTTTATTGTATTTCTTTTTTTAAATTTATCTTATTTTATCTGTAAATATATCGGTGTTAATAGGCCTAAACAAAATCGGATGTTCAATAATGACAATGGCAAAAATATTCGCCCATATACCTCCATCGTAGAAACCCCAAATTGACAAGATCAGACGTATACAAAAAAATTTGGTGCGGTACGCGCCTCACACAACTTCCAATTACAACCTTAGAGAAGATAGGTATTTTCATATATAGGGAAGTCAAAGTTAAAACGACGGTATAATTTCATTTGAAACAATTAATTACCATGTTTTCCCCACTCATCAAATCTGTTAAATTTATATATTTGCATCACTTTCCATTGTCTTTTACCATTGTGTGTAGCATCAGACAATACTAATGATTGCGGGAGAAACTGTATCTTACGGAAAAATTAAATTTATCACGAAACTCGTCGAAAAAAAATATCTTAATGCTAGTAAATATTGTATATTATTAGGTTTATATTCGTAGATCCTCAACATTTCGTGCGAAAATGTTTTAAAAAATTTAAGATAAGTGATATATAAAAGTTAAACGGAGTTGAAGCTCCTGAGGATCAATATACTACCGATGTGTAGGTTTAAACTTATATGTATATTATCTTACTACTTCAACTGTTAAAGCTTTTTAAAGCACAATACTTACCCAGCTTATAAGCGAAAGGTACGTGCAAATTAGGAATTCAAAAAGAAGAAAGGCACTTGAAGTATTTCAAAAGGAACCTACTGTAAACAACCTAATAGAATACAAAAAAATCACTCAATGTCTCGCAGAATAATACATACAAAAAGAAAGAAACATGGAGACAATTTTTAAGCACTATTTCAACTAATACCTCACTTAAGGTATTCTGGAAAAAAATAAAATCCATTTTATTTATGTCATATTATAACATGTGGTCGGCCCCATTTAAGTTTATCGTGTTAGCTGCGTTAGGCTGGTTTAGTGTTGTTCCTTTAGTGTGGTGCAAACCATACCTTCGATGATTATTGAATTTTGTATATTTTATTTATTTTGTTTTATCTGTTGCCTCCACCCTTCAGGGTCAATGGCAACACCTTCAAGTTAAATTCTGTTATACAGTTTCCCCGTTTTTATGAATGCCAATGTTTTTTTATCATCGGTTCCCGCTGCTATATAAAATTTTAATTTTCCGATAGCTATTTTAATTTCCTCTTTAGTTAGTTCTTCTATTAACGGTTCGGCACTCTGGTACTCAGAAGGACACAGATCATTATTGCTCGCATTTAAAATATTGTCAAAGTGTATCTTAAACTTCCTTAATATGTCTGCAGTGTCAGTGAGGATATTGTTATTTTCATCCATAATTTCAGTCGTTAAGGGTCCATTTAGGCCATTTATTTATACCTATGTACATGTCTCTTACGTTGTTTTCGATTCTATACCTATTATTTTATTTTTAGTATCATGTGTCATGGCCGCAACTGCAGTCCAATATTCATATCGTCCTGTCTTTGTTACATTGTCATCTGGTTGTTATCTTAAATCCCTTTCTGAGACTTTGCAAACAGAGTGTTTATAAACAGTTAAACATTTTAACGTAATAATTAGTGAGAGGTATGGAACCTGAGAGAAACATTTCATGTGACGAATCAGATGAAGAGACTCCCTTCTCCGAAATCAGTGAGACTGATTCTCAATATTTAACCAGGCGAACTCTACAAAAGCGAAACAGAAACTCTGCCCCCGGGTCGGCGGGCAACTCACCAAATAAAAAAAAATAATCCGCTAAATCAAAGCAGCCACTTAAAGTAGACCAAAATAAACAAACTCTAAAAATAATTCAACCATGAAAGCTGAAACTAAACCACCTACTAGCACATCCAGCAACAATTCTGTTGTCGCCAATAATAAAAATATCGAAATTACTCAGACTTTCACTGAACCAGAGCCACCACCCATATATGTAAGCAAAATTGAAAACTTCATGCAGTTCGGTCAAGAATTAGCTAATCTAATCGGACAGACCAATTTCCGTTGCTTTTCTCGTATCAACGACATAAAAATCAATACCAACACCAAAGATGACTATAAAAAACTTATAAATCACTTGACATCACACAATTATGACTTCCACTGCTACCAATTAAAAGAGGAAAAAACATATAGGGTCGTTTTGAGAGGTCTTCACTCAACCACTCCCACTACCGCTATAAAAAAGATCTCGAAGATATAGGCCACAATGTAAGACATATATCTTCTATTTTACATCCAATCGATAAATACCCACTTCCATTATTTTTTATCGATTTGGAACCAGCCCGGAATAATTCTGAAATCTTCGAAGTTAAAAGACTACTTTATTCAATAGTAAAATTTGAAGAACCGAGGTAGAAACCAATAGTCGTGCAATACACCAAGTGTCAAAACTTATGGCACACAAAGGCTTACTGCCATCACTCGGTGCAGTGTGTCAAATGTGCCGGCTCTCACGCCTCTGACACATGTCAGAAACCATTAAATGAACCAGCAAAATGTGTCCTTTGTGGTGAGGACCACCCTGCAAGCTATCTCGGATGCATTGTTTACAAGAAGCTATACAAGCAAACATATATTTAAAAACCCAAGAACAGAAGAATCCTATCCAGGCAAAAGCACCCGAAGTACAAAGTTTGGCTACGTTTCCTGAATTGCCGAATGAAATAGCACCACGATTTACACAACAGCCTTCTACATCAACAAATCATCCCTATCAGGACTCCAGACAACTATATTCTGACTCCACACTGAAGAATCAGCAACCGAGACGTCAGACGCCTCAGTCATTCAAACCTAAGACCCAGGCTTCCAAACCTAAGCTCCAGACTTCCCAATCCAAGACTCAGACCTCCCACATGCACTCAAAATCACCACGTCAGTCAATCTCTCCTTATCAGATACCTCTACGTATCAAACTACCGCCTGAAGATCCAATTCCAGTCCATTCCCATCCTATTCATCACATTAACTCTCCTTCCCAAATTCCATCTAATTATGATTCAACCTCTCCTAGATCACGACTGGTACATCATCCATCAGACACTCCTTATCATAAGAGCTATCCCTCACAAATTCCAGCTGACCAACAAAACCCGATCGACTTAATCCAATCCACCCTTGCCTCCTTCCTGAAAGATCTTCAAGATACCATCAAGCCACTAATAACCCTCCTCACAAGAATCCTTACTGAAATTCCTTTTAATCTCTCACGATGAGCACAAAGCCCTAGCTGTTCTTTTATGGAATGCTAATGGACTACACAACCACCGAGACGAACTTGACATTTTTCTTCATGACTACCACATTGATATTGCTCTACTGACAGAAACTCACTTCACACAACGTTCATATTTCTACATACGTGACTACATCACTTATAGATCTGACCACCCCGACAACACTTCCCATGCCGGTTCTTGCATCCTTATCCATAAATCCTTATCCCATTCTTTCATTCCTTCTACTCCAACTGAGGCTATTCAAGCAACTTCAGTAATCATTTCAATCCGTCCTTTCCATTTAACACTCTCAGCTGTATACTGTCCTCCTGGTAATTCCATCTCCTATTACCTCCTTGAATCCTTATTCCAATCCTTCGGATCGCGCTTTATTGCAGGAGGAGACTATAACGCTAAACACCAACGATGGGGTTGTCGAGCATCCAACTCCCGTGGTAACATACTATCTTCTCTCTCAACTTCCAATAGTTACTCTGTCCTTTCTCCTATGAATCCTACCTATTGGCCAATTCACTCAGAAAACGCCCTGATATCCTGGACATATTTGTCACCTCCCAGATTTCCTCTTCCCATGTCACAATCAAATCCCTGGATGACCTCTCCTCAGATCATTCTCCAGTTCTGCTTTCATTACACCCAACCTTCGCTCCTAAGTCCACGTCCCCTCTTACACTGATTACAGGACGAGTAAACTGGGACAAATTTCGGAAAGACCTGGAAAATAAATTTGACCTAAATACTCCACTTAAGATGAAACATGACATTGACACAGCCATAGAAGTACTTACTACATCTATAAGTGACAAAATAAACGATAATACTTCTATCAATAAAATTAACAACAGACAAACTTGCCACAGCATATTCGTATCTTATTAAGGGAAAAACGCAGAGCAAGATCGAAGTGGCACAAGACCAGATACCCATCAGATAAGACATATTACAAAAAATTAACTAACCAACTAAAAGCTGAAATTAAAAAATACATAATTCAAAATTAATCTCTCAGGATGAGCGCAAAGCCCTAGCTGTTCTTTTATGGAATGCTAACGGACTACAAAACCACCGAGACGAACTTGACATTTTTCTTCATGACAAACACATTGATATTGCTCTACTGACAGAAACTCACTTCACTCAACGTTCATATTTCTACATACGTGACTACATCACTTATAGATCAGACCACCCCGACAACACTTCCCATGCCGGTTCTTGCATCCTTATCCATAAATCCTTATCCCATTCCCTCATTCCTTCTACTCCAACTGAGGCTATTCAAGCAACCTCGGTTATCATTTCAACTCGTCCTTTCCATTTAACACTTTCAGCTGTATACTGTCCTCCTGGTAATTCCATCTCCTATTACCTCCTTGAATCCTTATTCCGATCCCTTGGATCGCGCTTTATTGCAGGAGGAGACTATAACGCTAAACACCAACGATGGGGTTGTCGAGCATCCAACTCCCGTGGTAACATACTATCTTCTCTCTCAACTTCCAATAGTTACTCTGTCCTTTCTCCTATGAATCCTACCTATTGGCCAATTCACTCAGAAAACGCCCTGATATCCTGGACATATTTGTCACCTCCCAGATTTCCTCTTCCTACGTCACTATCAAATCCCTGGATGACCTCTCCTCAGATCATAGTCCAGTT